AAGTTGAAATAATAGATGGCCCAGATACGTTTATTTTGACATTTCTAACGTTTACATGTTTGTTTCACGATATATCTTACTCAGCTACGACTTACTCAGGTCAGGAGTTCGTTCGGATAATGTGCGATTTCCGGATTTCCTCTTAATGCCACCGCGGTTATACTCTTATATTGTCTTCAAAGTGGCTCCTTAAACTCTTGTTTTGCTGCTAATGGAAAATGACTGATCATTTAGATATATAATAAATAATAGTGGGCCAAGTATTGTGCCTTGAGGAACTACTAGCTTTGTTGCTACTGTTACTGGAAATTTTTGATCAAAATGTATCGCTCATCCCCCCTAACAAATTGATGACGTCACCTCAAAATTTTGCTGAATGTACCCTATTTTTTTTAATACAGTTTGTCTCAGAAAAATTAATGACTGAGTTGTTAAGAAATCAGTTTAGAAATTTAACTCGTTACTATGGAAATATGCAATTTAACAACTTTTAAAATTAACGAGTTTTTATGGGTTTAATAGGGGCAAAATCAGTCTTATTTTATCAAGTGCTAACCCCGCCCACCCGCCCCCTATTTTCTCAGAATTTGTCATTTGCCAAAATCATTCTTATCTTAGCAAGTACTAGCCCGCCCACCCGCCCTCTATTTAATCAGAGGGTATAGCGTCTGCCAAAATCAGTCTTATTTGAGCAAGTGCTAGCCCCACCCACCCGCCCCTATTATCTCAGATGATGGGCGGGGTTATTGCTTGCATATAAGACGGTAGCCCCACCCACCCACCCGTTTCCCGTTTTGATGACCCTTCTTATTGGCTGTGAGATGGAAGTTGCATTTAAATTGGCAAATATAATAGAATATAAATTGAACTTTTTTTTTTAATATAATTTTGATACTTATTCGAAAAACGACCTTGGCGTCAACTGTTACATAGAAATAAAAAACAATCACATAAAGTAGGCACAATGTAGTACAATTTCAAACGACGTCCTTGTCCCCGAGCCAATGAAACAATTTATTAAGGTGGAGCTTGAGTGAGTGGGAGGAGCTTCAGTAATATTGGAGCGGAGTTAAGTTTAGGATTTTTTGCAGTCTTATGAATATGCAGTGGCCTGGAGAAGTGAGCAGCGTTTACAGTTGTACCTCATTGTGTCTACATTACATGATTTGTAAATGTTTCTATGTAAAGTCGTTTTTTGAATGAAAATACAATTTTTATTAAAAGATATTTAGTCGTAGATTCTGTTATTTGTCAAAATAAAATTCAACTTCTGTCTCAGAGCCAATAAAATGGGTCATGAAAACGGAGTAGGGATGGGTGGGTGGGGCCACTTTTTTCTTTGAGATAAATCTTACATTCTGTCGTTTGTTAAACCAAAATTCAATTCCTGTTTTACAGCAAATAAAATAAATCAGTGAAATTGAAAAAGGAGGTGGGCGGAGTTAAGTTTAGACTTTGTTTGCTGTCTTACGAGCAAGCAATAGCCCCGCCCACCCACCCTTTCTTTATTCTAGTGAAGACTCTTAATATTGTTAATTAATAACATTATTATTTTATTAGAATCATACTCAAATCTGTTATTGTTGGAAAGAAAGTAGATAAAATGTAAATAAAATATCTAGAAAAAAACAGGTGTTAAATAAGTAAACGTAAAAACTACATTATAACACGATATTACTGACACTCCTCCCACTCGCACAAGCTCCACCTTAATAAATCATTTCATTGGCCCAGAGAAGAGGAGCGGCGTTTACAGTTGTAAGATATCGTGTCTACTTCATTTGATTTTTAAATATTTATTCCTAAAAGCTGACGGCAAAGTCGTTTTTCGTATAAAAATAAAAATGCTTTAAAAAAATATTTAGTCCTCTATTCTATTATTTGTCAAAATAAAATCCAACTTTCGTGTCAGAGCCAATAAAATGGGTCATCAAAACGTAGTAGGGGTGGGTGGGTGGGGCTACTTTTGGCTTTGAATTAAATCCTACATTCTGTCGCTTAGGATGAGTTAAGTTTAGATTGTTTCTCCAGTCTTATCAGCAAACAGTAGGCCCGCCCACCCACCCTTTCTTAATTCTGGTGATAACTCTTGATATTGTTAATTAATGACCATATTTTTACCTTTTTGATTCCTACTCAAATCTGTTAAATCGTCGGTGAGAAAATAGATAAATTGTAAACAAAATATCTAGAAAAAAATCAGCTTGTGTTAAAAAACAAACTTGAAAACTATATTAAAACATAATATTTGTGATGCCCCTCCTACTCGCACAAGCTCCACCCTAAAAAATCATTTAATTGGCCAGGAAAAGAGGCATGGCTTTTACAGTTGTACAAAGTCGGGTCTACTCCATATGATTTTTAAATATTTCTCTCTAAACGCTGACGACAACGTCGTTTATCAAATAAAAATAAAAATGTTTAAAAAAAATATTTAGTCCTCTATTCTATTATTATTTGTCAAAATAAAATTCGATTTTCGTGTCAGAGCCAATAAAATGGGTTATCGAAACGGAGTAGGGGTGGGTGGGTGGGGCTACTTTTGACTTTGAATTAAATCTTACATTCTGCCGCTTGGAATGAGTTAAGTTTAGATTTTTTCTCCAGTCTTATCAGCAAACAATAGCCCCGCCCACCCACCCGTTCTTAATTCTGATGATAACTCTTGATGTTGTTAATTAATGACCACATTTTTACCATTTGCCAAAATAAGACTTATCTTAACAAGTACTAGCAAGTATTACGCTTTGAAAAAATAGTGAGAAAATAAAGGGCAGGTGGGCGGGGGTAGTACATACTTACTAAGATAAAACTGATTTTGGCAAATCACATACCTTCCAAGAAAATAAAGGGTGGGTGGGCGGGGCCAATACTTGCCAAGATGAGACTGATTTTGTCAAATGATATACCCTCTACCGTTCATTTTCTTAGAGGGTGTGTCATTTGATAAAATAGGGGTGGGTAGGCGGGGCTAGTACTTGGTAAGATAAGACTGATTTTGGCAATTGACATCCTCTGGGTAAATAGGGGGCGGGTGGGCGGGCCTAGTATTTGTTAAGATAAAATTGATTTTGCCCCTCTTAATCTTGTTAAAATTTGCGAAACTTAAAGTTTTTACAAGTTTAATAGGGGAAAATCAGTCTTATTTTATCAAGCGCTAACCCCGCCCACCCGCCTCCTATTTTCTCAGAATTTGTCATTTGCCAAAATCAATCTTATCTTAGCAAGTACTAGCCCCGCCCACCCACCCTCTATTTAATCAGAGGGCATAGCGTCTGCCAAAATCAGTCTTATCTGAGCAAGTGCTAGCCCCACCCACCCGCCCCTATTTTCTCAGACGATGTCATTTGCCAAAATAAGACTTATCTTAGCAAGTACTAGCAAGTATTACCCTCTGAGAAAATAGTTAGAAAATAAAGGGCACTTGCTAACATAAGTCTTATTTTGGCAAATCACATACCTTCCAAGAAAATAAAGGGTGGGTGGGCGGGGCCAATACTTGCCAAGATGAGACTGATTTTGCCAAATGATATACCCTCTACCGTTCATTTTCTTAGAAGGTGTGTCATTTGATAACATATGGGTGGGTGGGCGGGGCTAGTATTTGGTAAGATAAGACTGACTTTGGCAAATCACATAGCCTCTATGGAGAGAGGGTGGGTGGGCGGGGCTAATACTTGTTAAAATAAGACCAATTTTGGCAAATAACATAGCCTCTGAGAAAAGAGAGGGCAGGTGGGTGGGGCTAGTACCTTTAAGACTGACTTTAGCAAATGACGTGTCCTCTAAGAAATGTAATTAAATTATTATAAGAAAAAACACTAGAGGCTCCAAAGCACTTCCAAATTCTTTCCAAACAGGAATATCGAGAACCTCAAAATTCAAGTCAGAAGTCCAAAAATAGGATACCGAAGTTCCCTAAAATTCTTTTAAATAATTTACAAGCAAAATCTCAAAGGGCTTCCAAAATAATACACCACGGTCTTATTTTAGCAGCTACTAGTCCGTAACACCTACCCACCCTTTTCTAGGAGGGAGTTGTCATTTGCCAAAATGAGTTTTGTCTTAACAGGCACTAGAACCCCGCCCACCCACCCTCTCGTTTTTTAGGGAGGATCTCAATTGCCAAAATCAGTTTTATCTTGGCAGGTACTAGCCCCGCCCACCCACCCTCTCTTTTTTTGTTGGTTTTATTTGGTTTATAATTGATAAATGTCTTTTTTTTTTTTGATTTATTTATTAATGAAAAATAGCTTGTTTTATTAATAATAATGCACAACGATTAATGACTACTGGTTGTTATGGTTATTAAGTAAGCCTTTATAAAATATAATAATATATAACGTACTGAAGAGTTAATCCGCCATTTTCCAGATATCCGGCATAAGATTCGTAGTTTAGTTAGAAAAACATTAAAAATATTTTATTGAGTTTATTTTTATTAATTGAAATCTGTGCTTACGGGACTAAAGGATTAATCCTCTCGTCTCGGTTGAAGTGAATTGCGGCTCTGGGTGTGATCCGCTCGTAACCGCTACAAGTGATACGCGGTATAATACAATGCAAGTTATTATATTTATTATTATTAGATATACGTTAATTTAATAAATTTTATAACGAAACGCGGGTTGCTGACCTCAGGCAGCGCAAAACACTGTATAAACCCTCTAAACGAAATTTCGTTCGTGTTTTGAAAGAAGTTTGCATAATACAAATACCTGAAAAATAGAACCTGATGGAATACGCTTCCGCAAACATGCACTCAGGTGCGTTTTTGTACTTTTTTTTATTGATGTTGCGAATATTCAGCGTACATTCGTTGCTCCGCGCATTTTTATGCTCTCTCTGCAGACCACAAATATTGCTTTAACGAATATACTCATAGCTGGAATATCATGCAAGTAAAACACGATGTTCGACGGTCTCACTACATCCCATAAAAGAAAATTTTAAACAAGTTTAAACGAATTGTAATTACAGTGTTTTTTGTTTGTTTTCAGATAAGTTGTTCGGCAGGCCCTCAACGTACTCGACGGCTTTTTTACGCAACAATGTCAAAGGTAGGACCGTTACACCTCTATTGCAACTCATTTAGTAAACAACACCGATATTTCGTTCATTTTTCGCGAGAACTCATTCCCGGACCCCCACGTAGTAGCCGGCAGATTGCCCAAACGGAAAACTTCTCGGCGACACCAGCTGCGCGAAGATTATTTTCTTTAAAGTGTTATAAAAATGTGTAGGGATCAAGAAGGATCTCTTTTTTTATTTCACATAAATAATATGTCGGTTTTTGGCTCGTAAATTCCACGCAAATCCACTCGTAGATTCGCCGCAATTTTTATTCGTCGGAGCCGTAATGGGATTTTTGCGTTCGAAACAATGGTGGATGCGCCGGGATAATCCGGCTGTCATTAGACCAATCGTTTGCATTTTCGGCGGCGATTGTGTTTTTATATTCCGCTTAAATGTGACACCTAGAAATTTTTTACGTTGTGTTTTTTTAGTTCGAGGAAGCGGATTTTCGAATTGCTGCGTTGTTACCTGCATTAATTAATAAGTTAACTAACTACTAGCTTCGTCTATATTTTGCTTAATAACGTCTGTCTGTGTCGATCTTCAGAAGTTAATTACTGGTTGTCATGTTTACTTTCCGCTTCGCTGCTTTTTCAAATCACAAACTATACGTGCATCTTTAATTGAGGTCTATATTTAGTATTACTTAGCGATATTTTCGAGTACGTTTCATGTTTATGCATTTTGGATGTTTTTCAGTTCGTCGTTTGTTAGTTATTCCTTTTGACTTAACGTTTCATTATTCAAGAAAGTCCCGAGGGAGTGCTGCGATTTTAGAACTTAAAATTTCCGAATTATAAATTTGAAAGGAAAAATTCGTTTAGGAGGGAGCCGCAGGTAACGTATATGTTATGAAAAAATTAGTAAATAAACGACTCGTGTCGTAAAACTTGCCCAATCGTGTGTATATGTGGTGGATGCGCCCGGTCAACTAACCAAATCAGCACACACCATTACGTTTGTCATACAATTGCGAAAATTAACGTCCAAACAGCACACTTTACGACGTCGTAGAGCCCTGACTGACTTAATGTCTTGCTAAATTGGTTTTCTCGTTCTCTCAGTTCAGTATAAACCCATAGACAGGTTTTCCACGCTGATAAGAAGTTACTTCTCCTGCATGATACGTATAAGCCAACAATAGAAGTTTTCTGTATCGAAATACGATTTGGACGGTGGAAACAACGGCGTTTCCTGAGAGCCACGTTCCCGAATGGCTTCCGGTGCGGCGATGAAAATCGTATATATCTTCATAATGGTCACGATGGTGCTGATGTCGATACCACGCGTCGATGCCAACGTGTCATGGTAGATTAATACGCGAAATTCATTACCATATGGATGGAGGAGAACACGCAGCGAACTGTTAATGTCGCCGGTATTGATTCCACGTCCCGGAGTCATCAGAAAGTCCGTGGCAATTAACAATATAATATTTTCAAAAAGTTCGCTTCCAGTTTCGTTGGCAGCACTCCTCGTCGCGCTAATTTCTCTTAAATACGTAGTGGCGTCTGCGGAAATTGCGCTTTTTGCTTAATTTATCCGCGCGTTTTTTATTGTGAAATACGCACCACGTCTGTGCACGCTTTCTTCGCGTTCTAGGTAAATGGTCGCGAATACATCATCCGATGGGATTACAAGAGCAGAATGGGCCCGACTAAATTCATTTTTTTCCGCCTTATCTGCAGTGGTTTTTTGAAAACGGCTCCACGAACACTCATATTTTACTTAAATTGCAGAAACATGCGACGTTTTGAAAGCGAAAGCCACGACACGGTGATGCATGAGGTCCCGTTCTTCGTATAACATGTGTAATTTAACGACGTTATGTGTAATTTTGAAGAATATTATTTCGTGCCATTCATTTTTAATTTCGTCCTGGGGGAAATGCATTCTGCGGGTCAAGGGGAGCCTGGAGTGCAATTAAATTCCAGGGGCTTAAATCAACGCAGCGTGAATCGCATTGAATCGAAACTTCCTCGAATTGATCGCAATTCAGCTTGATTGAAAATTTTTCTCATTTAGATCGAATCGCAGTTCGGCTGTGAGTTGAATCGATCGGATGAAGCCGGCGGAGGGACGGTAGTTACTTAAAAATTAAACTTAATGCGGGGTTGGTGTAATGGTCGAGTGCATTTATGTTTTTTTTTGTGAGAAACATTGATCGTGTTATATTTTTCTGTGAGGGCTAAACACTGTAATTGCGTCAGACTGGGAAAGAAGGAACGGAAAGTACGGAATCAAACCGGATTCACAGCGAGGTTCGTATCTGTTTGTCGAGTTTTATCACTTTTGAGTCGAGTGGTATTATTCTTCGCTAAAATTGCCTCCTTCAACATTATTACATGGCAGTTATGAAATCTCCATCACTTTTGTGTTCTGGAGTGTTGTAAAGACACCCGAGAGGAATGGCGACATTTCTTAAAAATATAAATGTAGACTTCTTACCAATGTAGTCGTTATTCACCATTTGTAGCTTAAGTATGAGATAGAATCCGGATTCAGGGGCGTCCAACCAGTTATTTACACTCCCAAGTTTCATGTTTACCGCACTGTCTGTCACTCAAGATGGATCAATACGCATTTTGAACATCGACGGAGTGCATGCATTATTAGTATTATTGTGCTACTCCGGCTAAAATTAACGAAAACATTCTGACTTTTATTAATAAAACTAAATAATCGTCGACAACAGGACTTAAGAAATGCTGTGCGGTCAAAATTGTCCTATGACCTCCCTGACGGCGGCTCCTCGTAGTTTCGCGGCTACTTCGGATCCTGGAGAGGCGGTGACGCCGAAAAGAGGTGGTCGGTAGCGCGGTTGTAACGGGTTCGTGCTCATTCTTCACGTCCTCAGACTGAAAAGTTTATCAATGGACTCTTACTTCTGAAGCAGTGTTTGACGGTTCACCCGATTTCTCTGTACTCCGCGCCAGACCAAATGTAAACAAATTAACCGAGTGTGTTTTCGTAATAAAGTGCAATAAGAATCTCTTAAAGAAATACAATCATATTTTTATTTTCCAAAAGTAAACTACGTTTGTTTAATGGATAGATTATCACAATTAAAATTTTTAAAAATAGAACTTTATAATTTCTCAAAGAAGCGGGATTTCTTGGACTGTACTTCAATGAACTTGAACAAATCTTTTGAGCTTTTAGTGTTTTATTTTTTTATGAATTTGAAAAAGTCTTGAGTTTGTTTTTTTTAATTCGGAAAATTCTTGGGTACGTACCCATGGTGTATCATTTCGGGAGCCGGTGTAGATTTTTTTTTTGTAAATCACTTAAAACAATTTTCGGGGAATTTTGGTGTTCTATTTTTGGAAAATTTAATAAGACATTCTTGGGGTTCTAGGTTTTCCTATTTGGAAAGAACATGAAACTACTTTGGGCTCTAGTGCCTTTTCTTACAATAATTTTATTAAATTTCTTACCTCATTTTCCAAAATCGGTCTTATCTTGGCAAGTATTGGCCCCGCCCACCCACCCTCTCTTTTCTTAGAAGGTATCTCATTTGGCAAAGTCAGTCTTATCTTACTAAATTAGTCTGATTTTGGCAAATGGCATATCTTCCAAGGAAATAAAGAGTGGGTGGGCGGTGCCAATGCTTGCCAAGATAAGAGTGGTTTTGCCAAATGATATACCCTCTACCCTTCATTTTCTTAGAGGGTACGTCATTTGCCAACATCAGTCTTACCTTAATAGGGACTAGCCCCGCCCACCCACCTTCACTTTTCTTAGAAGATGTCATTTGCGAAAATCAGTTTTATTTTAGCAGGTACTAACCCCGCCCACCCGCCCTCTATTTTTTTAGAAGGATACTTGCGAAAATCAGTCTTATCTTAGCAGCTATTAGCCCCCTAAGAAAGTAAAAGGCGAGTGCGTGGAGCTAGTACTTGCTAAGATAAGACTGATGTTGGCAGATGACATACCTTCCAAGGAAATAAAGGGTGGGTGGGCGGGGCCAATACTTGCCAAGATAAGACTGATTTTGCCAAAAGATATACCTTCTACCCTTAATTTTCTTAGAGTGTAGGTCATTTGCCAATATCAGTCTTATCTTAGCAGGGACTAGCCCCACCCACCCACCCTCACTTTTCTTAGAAGTCATGTGATTTGCCAATATTAATCTTATCTTACCAAGTATTAGCCCCGCCCACCCGCCCTATATTTTCTTAGAAGGATGTCATTAGCCAAAATCAGTCTTATCTTAGCAGGTATTAGCTCTCTAAGAAAATAAAAGACGGGTGGGTGGAGCTAATACTAGCCAAGATAAGACTGATTTTGGCAGATGACATACCTTCTAAGAAAATAAAGGGTGGGTGGGCGGGGACAATACTTGCCAAGATAAGACTGATTTTGCCAAAAGATATACCTTCTACCCTTCATTTTCGTAGAGAGTAGGTCATTTGCCAATATCAGTCTTATCTTAGCAGGGACTAGCCCCACCCACCCACCCTCACTTTTCTTAGAAGTCATGTAATTTGCCAATATTAGTCTTATCTTAGCAGGGACTAGCCCCACCCACCCACCCTCACTTTTCTTAGAAGTTATGTAATTTGCCAATATTAGTCTTATCTTACCAAGTATTAGCCCCGCCCACCCGCCCTATATTTTCTTAGAAGGATGTCATTAGCCAAAATCAGTCTTATCTTAGCAGGTATTAGCTCTCTAAGAAAATAAAAGACGGGTGGGTGGAGCTAGTACTAGCCAAGATAAGACTGATTTTGGCAGATGACATACCTTCTAAGAAAATAAAGGGTGGGTGGGCGGGGACAATACTTGCCAAGATAAGACTGATTTTGCCAAAAGATATACCTTCTACCCTTCATTTTCGTAGAGAGTAGGTCATTTGCCAATATCAGTCTTATCTTAGCAGGGACTAGCCCCACCCACCCACCCTCACTTTTCTTAGAAGTCATGTAATTTGCCAATATTAGTCTTATCTTAGCAGGGAGGGGCCCCGCCCACCCACCCTTAC